ACGATACTTTCACAATTTTACCATCAGACAAAGTAACTGCATTTTTAGAACATCTTAATTCCATAAACTCTAAAATTCAATTTACTATGGAGTTAGAGGCAAATAATTCTTTAGCTTTCCTAGATGTGTTAGTCATTCGAAATCCTAATAACACCGTAGGTCACACTGTGTATAGAAAAAAGACCCATACAAACCGATACTTAAACGGTGAATCTCACCATCACCCATCATTGTTAGCTACCGTGGGGAAATCTTTGTTGCAGAGAGCACGAGGGATCTGTGACAGCAAACACCTGGCCGCCGAGCTTCAGCACGTCAAGCAGGTTCTGCACGACAACAAGCTTCGGGTTCCGCGCCTACGTCACAGTGACCGAGTGAAGCCGGCCACAGTCGAGCGTGTGCCTGCTGTACTACCATATGTCAGAGGTGTCACAGACAAGATTGGCTACATCTTGAAGCGAGCTTCTATTAGAACATTCTTCAAGCCGCCGAAGAAGATTAGTCAGTTCTTACCATCCGTCAAGTGCAATATTCCTCTACAAGATGCAGGAGTATACAAGCTTGATTGTGAGTGTGGTCTCTCATATATAGGGCAAGCAAAACGATCAATAAAAACCCGCGTAAAAGAACACATAGCTGACGTGAAGCACCAACGTTTCGGGAAGTCTGCAGTTTGTGATCATATCCTAAACGGCCCCCGCCATTACATTAGATTTGATAAACCACAAGTTCTCGCGAAAGAACATCGATTCCTGCCAAGGATGATACGTGAGGCTATTGAAATTAAAAAACATCCTAATTTCAATAGAGAGGGAGGCTGGGTACTACCACCTGCTTGGGATCCTGTAATGCATAAAATTAAAACTAAACCCAAGCATACCACTGCAAGACTTCAAGACACAGTTAGTTCATTCTGCGTAGATCGGACCAAAATTAATAATTAAAAAGCTGAAGGTACTCCGGGTTAACTTTGACATCGGGACGTCAATCACCTCAGTCCCCCGTGACCACGGTTGCTGGAAAGCAACCGAAACGTCGGGAATACAAAATAACTTAATTAAACGCGATAAAATCCGTAAAAGTAGTTTGATTCAATGTGTAGTGTTCGCGTAATTATAAGAAATCATTACACAGGATACCAGTCAGGTGGTAAGTGATGTGCATGTAAGTAGTGTGTAGTAGTGTGTACAATGTAACCTGACTTAACCGTTGAAGTCGGACCGCAGATCCACAAGTACTGCTTCTCTCTAAAAGTGAGATCTCTCAAGGGGGGCGATCACCAAATGAAAACTTCTGCTTTTATTTCACTATAATATTAGTTTATCAACTTTATTGTACATTTAATTAACTTCCAAGTCAACCAATTCAACGTTCATCGAAATCAAAACAAGTGACATACGACAGAAGTAACGAACAATCGTTCAAAGTTCAATATACAAGGTTCCGGGTTCACTTCGCACAGAATTACAAACACGGGAACGAACGCGGTCTCTTCTTGAGTCACAAGGTTCAGCGTTCTCCCGAACAAGCCAAATTCTTTCGCACGATATTAAAATGCCACAAAGCAATTAGTCGAATCCAACCAATGTCAATCAAAGTTAAGTTAATAATTTAAACTCAATACAAGCTCAAAACTCAAATTAGGCCTCTTGCCACGTAACTCTCAAAACAACTCTCAAAAAAACTCCTGATGTAACAGCCACTAATTTCAAATTAAAACTCAAAATTTTTGACGCAATTAATAATATAAAAGCACCGTTTAAATGAGACATGTTTTCAATAATCGAGAGCATTGTGAGAAAATTACTAAATTTATAACGAAATATTTAACGATTTAAATTAATAACGGAAGGAGGTCGTGTTACCTCAGAGGATAAGTACCCGTGAAGTACGTGGGCAGCCTAAATTCGATTCCCACCTGAACCAAAGAGATTGATTGACGATCACCAGTGTTTGATAACCACTTGCTCGGTGGTCAATAAAATCTGAGGAAAACTAAACTTATAAATATGAAAGTAAATTAAATAAAATGAGTAAATAAATACGCAGAAAAGCAGCGCGGTGGACACTACTTGCCCTAAAAAAACCCTCTGAGAAATGTGGAGATGCTTGTTCCCAGTAGTGGATGCTAAACAGGCTGTTAATTTACTTATCAATTGAAGTAGACCATATCCCAATTTGAACAGACATTCGTTGATTTAAAAAACGTATAACTTTAATCTATGGCTCCGTGACGCAATTGCTAGGCATGAGTTGTGGTGGGGCCGCGAGTTGGAATCCCGCAAGCAACAAGTATTTGTATGGCCTAAACATATTTTTTCGGGTCTGGATGTTTGTCCCTGCTCAATTTATATAATGAACGGAAAAATAAATTTATGTAAACTGCCTCCACGATACAAGATTTAAAGCTAATGCTTCATCCACACGCTTGGCAAACAACGGCAAACAGCAATCACGAACGTGTGAATGGTTGTTCGCCTGTTATTAAATGAATTAGGAGTCAATCACATTATTATTGGGGGGTCTCTAGAAATCTTAAAAAAATATAGGTGGTAGATCTACTAACTTTTCGAAGTAGAATTGGTAAGAAACTTCTGATATCATATTTACCTCCGAGACAAATTTCGGATTGGTAACATTGACGTAGAGTATAATAATAATAGCCACTAGTAACTCTTTCCGCCACCCGCAAGACGCAAGCTCGCGCGTACCACTGACTGATTGCTAAACGTGTGGATACATCGCAAACACGTTTGTCGAACATCCTTTGATCGGTGCACAAAAACCGACACCAACGCCGATCACTGGCATACAAACAAACAATCAGGCAAACAACCATCCACACGTTCGTGATTGCTGTTTGCCGTTGTTTGCCAAGCGTGTGGATGAGGCATATGGCGTTTGTGGCAAACACCAAGCGTGTAGAGGCGGCATAATGTGGGCGTAACGTTATTTAAAAAAAATGGCATACATCCCAGCTTTACATCACACTGTTTATATGTTGTAGGTATTTTAAGAAATACATATCAAGTAATAAGTTTACATAGGTATATTTCAAGTTATTTCGTTAATATGCAATACAAGATCAGTAGCATTTGTGAAAAATATCGAAAGAAAAGAAAAGAAAAACACAACCCGCCTTTTTGAATCACGTCATCGTCATCATCAAATATCGAACGGGTGTAATATCGGTCACGACTGATAACCACTGATAACAGTCTCGACCCACCTGCTGCGTGCTGGCGGCTTTATTTAATTTTCTTAAGGTGTCTCTACGGTACGGGTTTGGCGGATGGGAGCTAGGCGACAAAAAGTGTAAGATTTTTTCGTCACTACCCCTTGTGTCATAGTGTTTTTTATCTTAAATGACGCTTCATTTTAATATACGCTAGTAATACATTTATTTGTATTTGTAAAATCAATAATATAATATGTTTATCAATAATAAGGAACTTCGTTCCAACCGAGTGTTCCACGACACTCACGCATGTTTTTTTATATTTTTATTTATTTACATCCATTTCAATAATTTTTTACTAAGCTAATTTATTTAAAAAATCTAAATTAATTTATTAAAGCTTTTCATACTTTTACTATTGATAGTGTACTGAAGAGTTTTTCGAACAACTGAGTTCTTCAAAAAACTGAGACCCTTAGATTATTAATAAATCATCAATAATCTAAGGTGAGACCTTTGTCAAACATAAGAAGTAATGTTATACCACTGACCTCTATATATACAAGTCAGTGTGTTAATACTCATAAATTGACATTTTACAAAGATGACTTCTTATATTATTCTAATAATATTTGAGATGACTTCCTGATTGTTTACGATTAAATTAATAAAAGGAGACAATTTCTTTTTGTATGGAGAATGGGCCCACCACGAATTTCAGAGAACTTTAATGAAATGTATGTCGATTTGTGCCTTATAATCTATAGATTACAAAATTAATATTAGTTTTATCGCATCTAATGGGAATTCTGAGAAAGTAACAATTGAAATATGAATATCACAATAACCTTAAAACAAACTAAACGCGATTTTCTAGTAGTTTTCACAGATATTATGAGTTAGAATAGTGTATATAGAGCAGGATAGCTTAATAATTCATAGTATTAAAAAGTTGTAGGTACATTCAGCAATTATAGGTACTTTAAGATTGATGGAAAATCCTTTTAACACTTCCTTCACGTAGTGCACAGACAAACAAACATAGTGTTGGGGACTATTTTTTACAGGTATTAATTGATTAGAGAATATACATTAAAGACGAGATGAATAACGGATAATATGTCCATTTATAATATTACCTTTACATGCTATGTCTAAGATCGTAAACAAACATGTTGTAAATGTATCTTATAAACAGCAATCTAGATGTCGCTACACATTTTTACATCACGATATGGTTAGAATATTGAAAGATGTATAAAGGGTTTACTAATTATATTGAATAAAGTGTCTATACGTTCCGGGACATTGAGTTTTCATTGCTCCCTGGCTTTGTTAACCTAACAAAAGGTCCTTCAGACTCGGAGCATTTTTGAGATATAATCTATTACTGCGACTAGTGATTACAAATAGAGTTGACGGCTTTATATTAGTGAAACGATTTACGTTGTCACCGCAAGGAACATAGAAGTGACGTCGCGCCATCTCGTGACTTGTGAAGCGCATTAGAAGAAACTATATTGGCGCCATTTTGTGGTGAAGAAATTGCAGTATACTTGAAAGAGGACACACAATCTAGCAAGGCTTGTGATATTATGAATTAAAGTACAAAATCAAACCGTAAGTACTCCTTTAACCTTGTAGAAGTGAAGATCAACTTAGGAAAATTTACGCATAATCTTGGACTTGTAAAATTTGAACAGTAGCTTGGGACTTAGAATAATTTACTAAAAAACGACGAGACGGGGAACCTACGCCCAAATTCACATTTGGTGTATTTAATTATATAAATTTAATATAAATTTGCTCAAATTGGACTTAGAAAATCTTTAAATTAAAACTAACGGATTTACGAAAATCAACAAATATGGAAGCTGATTTGAGGCTAATGGAGAAACTAAAAGAACAAATAGAGAAAGGAAGAAACAACTTCAAGAAAAGTCCTAAAGAAAGAGTAACGAAATCATTCGTTGTTGCAAGATTAGAAGGATTAGAAAAGATTGCTGATCGTTTTCGTATGAAGCATGAAGACATCATTTGTAAATACGAAAAGAAAGATTTCATCATCATCATCATTACAGCCCTTCACAAGTCCACTGCTGAACATAGGCCTCCCCCAAAGAATGCCACAAAGCACGGTCCTGAGCCACCTGCATCCATCGACTTCCTGCATATCTTACCAGGTCGTCACTCCATCTAGTGGGGGGACGCCCTACACTTCGCCTGCCGGTACGAGGCTGCCACTCAAGAACCTTTCTTCCCCATCGGTTGTCGGTTCTTCGAGCTATATGGCCGGCCCATTGCCACTTCAGCTTACTAATCCGTCACTCTGGTTCTACTGCGGATATCCTCATTTCTGAGTTTATCACGCAGAGAAACTCCGAGCATCGCCCTCTCCATAGCTCGCTGAGCGACCTTGAGCTTCCTCATCCGGCCAGCAGTGAAGGACCACGTCTCAGTTCCGTATGTCATCACTGGCAACACGCACTGGGTGTACAGTCTCGTTTTCAAGTTTTGAGGTATACCTGACGAGAAGATGTGCCGTAATTTCCCGAACGCTGCCCAACCGAGTTGAATCCGTCGATTGACCTCTCGGTCGAAGTTGGACTTACCTAGTCGGACTATTTGTCCTAGGTAAACATACTGGTCAACAACTTCGAGCTTAGTGTTCCCAACAACTACCGGCATAGGTGTGACATGGACATTAAACATGATCTTTGTTTTGTCCATGTTCATCTTAAGACCTATCCGTTGGGAAACACTATTAAAGTCATTGAGCATAGTGTTTAGGTCCTCCAGCGATTCTGCCATAAGGACTATATCGTCGGCAAATCGAAGGTGAGTGATGTACTCGCCATTAATTTTGATACCGTATCCTTTCCAGTCAAGAAGCTTGAAAACATCTTTCAATGCAGCGGTAAAGAGTTTCGGGGATATGCCGTCACCCTGTCTTACACCTCTCTGCAATTGGATAGGTTTCGTACTCTGGTTCTGTACTCGGATAGCCATCGTAGCCCTACTGTACAAGCACTTCAACACTTCGATATACCGACAATCAACTTGGCATCGCTGAAGGGACTGCAGCACCGCCCAAATTTCGACCGAATCAAAGGCTTTCTCATAGTCCACATACGCCAGACATAGTCGTAAATTGTACTCCTCGGACTTCTGTACAATTTGCCGAAGGGTATGTATGTGGTCTATGGTGCTAAAGCCTTTTCGGAAATCGGCTTGTTCGGGAGGCTGGAAGTCGTCAAGTCTGCGCGCGAGACGATTCGTAATGACTCTCGAAAACAGCACGTAGACACGGCTCAGAAGGGAAATCGGTCTGTAGTTCTTCAAGAAAGCGTTGTCGCCTTTCTTGAAGAACAAGACCACCGCACTTCTGCTCCACGCCTCCGGTGTAATGCCACCATGGAGGACGGAATTAAAGAGCTTCTGAAGGACTTCAAGTACCGGTTTTCCACCCGCTTTCAGAAGCTCCGCTGTAATTCCATCCTCGCCTGAGGCCTTGCCGTTTTTAAGGTGCTGGAGAGCCATTGTAATCTCGCTCAGACTGACGTCCGGGATATCATCGGAATTTAGTTGCCTGTATGCTGTCAAATCTGTTGAAGAATGTAGCTTCATCTCCCGTCTAACAGCCATGAGATTAAGAGTGTGATCGGAGAGTTTTTGTGTTCTTCTGCGGCGGGTCTTGCAGAACTTAGCTCCGACCGCATGGACAGTTTCCACGAGCTTGTCATTCAAATCGTCCACTTCATTGCAGTCTTCTAGGCACTGAAATCGGTTTTGTAACTCGAGCTGAAAGGTTTCGGGACTTTGGATTAGAGCACGAGGGGGACGGAGCGTTGACTTCATTAGACGAGACCTCTCCAACTTAACGTTTAGGTTCAGTGTGCCTCTAACCATTCGGTGATCGCTGCCGGTTTCCACCCTCGCGATCACTGAGACATCACTGAACAGTTGTCGTCTGGTCGTCATAATGAAGTCAATCTCATTTTTTGTCGAACCGTCGGGGCTGAACCAGGTCTACTTCCTGTGGGGCCGCTTCTGGAAGAAAGAGTTCATCATAAAGAGTCCCTCTTTCTCCATGAAGTCGGCCAGCTGCTGGCCCCTTAGGTTCCGTTGCCCAATTCCAAATTTCCCCACTTTCAGCTCACCGTTCTCTCTTGTGCCTAATTTTGCATTGAAGTCTCCCATTAACACCGTATATTGGGTTTTGGAGGAATGCATGGCTCTAGAGATATCCTCATACATTTCCTCCACCTCCTGATCGGGGTGTGCCGAGGTTGGTGCGTAAACCTGTATGACCTTCAGAGAATACCGTTTGGTGATTCTAAGTATAAGGTACGCAACCCTCGTCGACACACTCTCAATCTTTACAACGTTGTTAACGAGAGACTTGTGCACGATAAATCCGACACCTCCTTGGGACAGATGGTCGCCCTCCCGGTAATAGAGCAAGTTGCCGGGTTCGAGGATTACCGTGTCCTCCCCTTCTCTTCGGACTTCGGATAATCCTATAATATGCCAGCGTAACTTGTCTATCTCTTCTTCCAGTTCCACAATCTTCTCGTCAGTCCTCAAGGTGCGTGCGTTGTATGTTGCCAGGTCGAGTAGTCGTAGGTGGCAACCGAACCTCCACCGGAGGTTCTTAGCACCCCCAGCCCCGCCGTTACCATGGTCGCCACCGTAGCCAGGAATAGCGGGGCCGCCGGGGACTGGGGGCCGTTTCTTCGTAACTTTAATCATGGGGGGTATATTGCCATAGTTGCCACGCTTGGCGAGCGGGTTGGCAACCGCAGTTTTTTATTGTATTTTGCCGTTACCAGGAAGATGCTGCTGCCCATCTCCTGCCTGTTTCGCCTTTTACGACACTCACGGGAAGATATGGGGTAGTGGATATTCTTAACCGCCACTACACGGCAAAAAGATTTGCTAGGAAGCAATTACATAAATAACGATGTATTCAATGAAGGTTATGAAATATACTTAATCTACAAGAGTGAGCTCAATGAGGCCCTGAGCTCCATGGAAAGCCCTTCACCTACGCATTGTGATCATGCTTCGACATCAAACGAATACAAAGACTCTCTTGTTAAATTACCTAAAATATCTATTCCTGTGTTTAGTGGGCATTATTCCGAATGGTCGTCGTTTAAAGATTTGTTTATCTCTTTAGTCCATAACAACACTACATTATATGATATTCAATGGTTACATTATTTAAAAACTCAAGTCAAAGGTGAAGCAGAACAGTTAATTAAGCACATTCCTACAACTCAGTTTAATTATCAAAAATGTTGTAATTTATTGCAAAATAGATATAATAATAAACGGTTCATGTCAAATTGCATCCTAAAACGTATATTCGCGCAACGTGCACTCACTGTTGAATCATCTGGTTGTCTTAAAGGCCTTCTAGATACCACTTCTGATTGTATGCATGAGTTAGCCAATTTAGGTATAAAGGTTGAGTCTTGGGACCTTATAATTATCTATATAATCAGCTTAAAGTTGGACGCTGAGACCCCTAAACAGTGGGAATTACACGTAAATAGTATATGCGAAGATTTACCTATCTTTTCGCAATTCAAACAGTTTTTAGAATGTCATTTTCGCGCGTTAGAATTCATAGAGCCTACTAAAATTAAACCTAAGGCCACTCATAGCACTCAACAACCTAAGTCTTTGCATGTATCTTCAGATATTATTTGTCTTCACTGCAATGAACATCATAAGCTATTCTACTGTGGTAAGTTTGCAAAGGAAGATCTTAATGTTCGCCAGAATATAGTAAATTCATTAGGACTTTGCTATAATTGCCTTGGCAGTAATCACACAAGAAAAATGTGCCGTGTACTAACAACATGTGGTATATGTAAAAGGAAGCATCATACGCTTCTTCATGGCAAAGCTAGTTCATATACCGTCGCAGTCGCTAGGGAAGCAACTGAAACTGATGAAGTAGATGAAATTCACCCGGAATCGTCTTTTGAGACGAATGAGACCACCAACAATATTGTTAACAATTTTGTGACAGACCAAACACATAACCAATCCTTATTAGCCACAGCCTTAATAAAGGTTCAATATAAAGATGGTAATAATCAGATATTGAGAGCCTTGCTTGACCAACGATCGCAAGCATCTTTCATATCTGAAGCTGCTGTGCAACTTTTACGCCTCGATAAAATTAATGCAAGAAGTTCTATATCAGGTTTGGGTGGAGGTCGACGCGGCTTGGTTTCAAAGTATGTGGTTAGAGTAAACATGCTATCGCTTAGCGAACCTTCATTTAAAATGCAAGTAGATGCTCACGTTTTAAATAAGGTGACTTCGGTCTTGCCGGAAAGGAAATTTTCCCTACTGTATTGGGAAGATTTAAGGCGGATCACTCTGGCAGATCCACAATACAATTCACCTCATAGGATAGACATCTTATTAGTCACTGAGGTTTATTGCAAGATCCTGAAAAAGGGGTTAATAAAACACCCCTCTGGTTGTACTATTGCGCAGGATATTCACCTCGGATGGGTATTGTCAGGACAAGTGAGCAGTAATAATACAGAAATTGGATGTCACAACAAAATTTTGAATATGCATGCAAATGTAGATGAAGATAACGAACTACTTAAACGAATTTGGATGCTAGAATCAGAGCCTAATTTAGAACACAGAAAAATATTGAATCCTGAAGAGCAACAATGTGAGGAACATTTTGCTGCTACAACAATTAGAGACCAGTATGGTCGCTACATTGTAGAGTTACCTTCCCGTCCCAATTTTGGTATTAAAGACAGATATGGAGATACAAGGAAAATTTCCGTTAAAAGATTGTTAAGTTTAGAGAAAAGATTATCGAAATGCCCAGAACAAGAAAAGGATTATGCAGAAGCACTGAAGGAATACGTGATGTTTGGTCATATGGAGGAAGTAGGAATGGATTTGTTGACTGTAGTCAAAAGAAAAAGTATGGTTGCCACACTACGCTGTAATTAAATTGGACAGAAAAACGACAAAAACGAGAGTTGTGTTTAATGCATCAGACCGTAGCGCCAATGGTGTATCTCTAAACGATACTCTCATGGTCGGACCAACTTTGCAGCCAAAATTGCGACATATCATTATGCGATGGCGGTTACACCCGATATGTCTCACTGCCGATATTGTTAAAATGTATCGACAAGTTAAGGTGGCTGCAAAACATGTTGACTTTCAAAGAATAGTTTGGCGTGACAATCCTACTTCAGAAATAAAAGATTATAGACTTTTGAGAGTAAAATTTGGTCTGGCTTGCGCACCATACTTAGCGGTCAAAGCTTTGCAACAAGTTGCTATAGATGAAGGACATAATTATCCATTAGCTGCAGGTAGAGTCAAAACAGACTTTTAGGTCGATGATCTCATGACAGATTGTCAGTCTGAAACAGAAGCAATTACAGTGTGTGATCAGATAAATTCATTAATGGAGAAAGGCAGTTTCAAGTTACAGAAATGGTCTAGCAATAAGGAGGAGTTGTTTACATAGTTAAGGGAGGATGAAGGAAAGAGAAATGGTCAGAAAATTAAGGAAGATGATATAACCAAAATACTAGGACTTACATGGAATCGTCGAAGTGTGAGTGTGAGTGATGAGTTTGATTACACAGTACGGTTTTCATCTGAATCATCCTTACCTGACACTAAAAGAAAAATAATTGCAGAAATCTGCCGCTTATATGACCCTTTTGGGTTAATATCACCATGTATTATTGCACACTGCATAGGTATTTATTCAGAAACTGTGGCTAACCGGACTGGACTGGGATGAAAAATTACCAAATGAGCTATTGTGTCAATGGGAGACTTATCGAAATGAGTTACGTGAAGTAGTCAGATTTCATATACCGAGATGGGTTAATAGTTCTAAAAGTGACAAACTGGTTTAAACAGAATTACATGGATTCAGCGATGCATCTAGTGTAGCATATTCTGCCGTTATGTATATTAGATGCCTTGCTACAGATGGTAGAATTGAATCTCATTTGATGACCGCTAAAACCAAAGTAGCTCCTATCAAACAGGTGTCCATTCCTCGACTTGAATTGTGTGGAGCTGTATTGGTAGCTAAGCTTCTCGTTGAAGTGTCTGGAGTCCTTCATATAAATAAGTCAGAAACACATGCCTGGACTGACTCAACGATAGTTTTCGCTTGGTTGAGCGATCATCCAAGTCGATGGGAAACTTTTGTGGCCAATCGGAATTCAGAAATACTAACACTTTTAGATTCATCCCAATGGTCATATGTTAATTCAAGGTGCAATCCTGCCGATTACGCCTCACGAGGAGTAAAACCGGCAGAGTTTATAGATGACAAGTTGTGGAAACACGGTCCAAGCTAGTTGCTTAATAAAACAATAGAGTACGCAAAACCAACTTCCATATGTACCAAATTGGAAACAAAAACCATAAAAACACACGTTACTTCCGTAACCAATGAAAATGATGATGATTTATTCATTAAATTTTCATCATTACGGAAGCTAGTGAGGGTTGTAGCGTTTTGTCGTAGATTTCTTCGATTGAGGGATCTTAACACATCAAAAGAAAAACCTTTGCCATATTTATCAGCTAAAGAAATACAAGATTCTCTTACTTGTTGCATACGGCAGCATCAATTTCTTTCGTTCCCTGAGGAGATTAAAAATGTCTTGAAATCCCAAAATGTTCACAAGAAAAGCAAACTCGCTTCACTTAACCCATTCATTGACAAATACGGTATATTAAGAGTCGGAGGACGAATTGAAAATTCAAACTTATCTGATGATAGCAAGCATCCCATTATAATTGCAGGAGAATCACATCTTGCAAAACTTATAGTAGCCGATGCACATGTAAAAACCATGCATGGGGGACAACAATTGACTTGTAGTTATGTGAGAACTAAATATTGGGTGACTAGATTAAAGAATTTGGTTAGAAAACACATACACCATTGTGTTCCATGTATTAGAAATGCAGCTACTTTTCGGACTCAGTTGATGGGACAGTTGCCAGCTTGTCGAGTAACACTCGGCAAGCCATTTATGAGTGCCCGTGTATACTACGCAGGCCCGATAAATATTCGTGTTTTCAAAGGTAGAGGCCACAAGTCTTATAAAGGCTATATCTGCTTCTTCATATGTATGGTCACATGAGCAGTTCATATCGAAGTCGTATCGGATCTTACCACGGAAGGATTTTTGGCTGCCTTTAAACGTTTCGTCGCGCGGAGGGGTCGCTGTAACCACATAGAAGCGATAACGGAACTAATTTTATTGGGGCATCACGAGAACTCAAACGGTTGTTTTCAAACGAACGGTCTTCATTTTTGAATGAAGTTTCTTCTTCATTAGCTAATAATGGGACCGAATGGCATTTTATTCCCCCTCATGCTCCCAACTTTGGAGGGTTGTTGGAAGCAGAGATTAAAAGCACAAAACATCATCTCCGCAGAGTGATAGGTGATTCTACTCTCACTTGTGAGGAATTAGCTACGGTGCTAGCTCAAATCGAGGCATGCCTCAATTCCCGACCCTTAACAGTGGCAAGTTCAAGCCCAGACGATAGTGTTCCATTAACACCAGGTCATTTTTTAATAGGTGAACCATTGCTAACTGCTCCTGATTATAACTTCGAACAGCTTTCGATAGGCAACTTACGTCGTTGGCAATTGACACAACGGATGCTACAAACCTTTTGGAAGAGATGGTCCACTGAATACCTCACCAATTTCTTCCAAAGGCACAAATGGAACACCAAAACTTCAGATTTGAAAGTAGGTGATATTGTTCTGGTACGTGAAGACAACTTGCCACCCGCTAAATGGCTTTATGGTAAGGTAGTGGATGTTCATCCTGGTAGGGATAATCTTACACGGGTAGTAACATTACGTTGTAAGGATTCCTTAATACAACGTCCAACTTCGAAGCTTTGTCCCTTACCTATAACAGATAATGATGATTAACATAAATCAAATTGTTAAAATTCAATTTTATATTGTTCAATTAAATATTGTGTTTACAAAGTGCGTTATATTATACTTTATATTCTTCTTTTGTATGTAAAATTTCATCTTTGAATAGTTAGAAATAATTCCTTGAAGGTGAAAGGTTGTGTGATTTGGGAATACGCCATTGCTTTGTTGTTTTAATTTTTATGTGTAAAACGTTTTTTTTTTGGTTTCGTTAAATAAGTAATGTAACACTTGAAACATGTAAGTATTTCTTTCATATTTTCTTTAAATTAATTCAATAGAAAATTAATTCAGTTTATCTTTCCAAATAGTATAAATATGCAACTTTTATATAATTTGAAGGACTACTTAGGCCTTGGTGGGCGGTATCTCTAAGATCGTAAACAAACATGTTGTAAATATATCTTATAAACAGCAATCTAGATGTCGCTACACATTTTTACATCACGATATGGTTAGACTATTGAAAGATGTATAAAGGGTTTTCTAATTATTATATTGAATAAAGTGTCTATACGTTCCGGGACATTGAGTTTTCATTGCTCCCTAACATGCTATATAGTAAGAAATATGTTTTAAACTGTTTGTATAAGGCTAAAACACAAGCAAGTAAAATGCCACTGCATTTATTGTGGTAATTATTTCCAAAGCAGTCTATTAATAGTGGAACAGACAGACAGGTGCGGTGTCAAGACTTTAATATGTTTTGGTTGAATCAGTAAAGATGCAGTGTGTAAAGTTTGTTTTAAAATATATCAACTGATTAGTTATCATACCCCAAATACCATTAAAGCCAAAATGACTAGGTGATATCATGCTTATCTATGTTATATTATTACGCATATAAATATGAACTAAGATGTTTTATACTGGTTGTGTAAGTATAACAAAAACACATGTATAATTTAATTGTAATATTTAGCTTTAATTTAATTGTATTTTATAATTTTATTATTGTTAGTCATTATCATTTCAAAATAACTTGATAATAACACAACAAGGATATTTTTAATGTTATGAGATATGATATAAGACTGTTGTAGTCGTATTCAATATCCATATGCTTTTTTGTCGCTGCCTACGAGTAGCTCTGCAAGATTTCAGCCTACAAGACATGCACATTTATTCTAAGCCATCTACCTGAAAAAGTTAATGAATATTATATATATTATTTTTTCTATATTTATTGCAATCTAAATAGCATGTAAGGTCTATGTTTCTGTTTGTATTGATTTACATTTCGAACACTATAAATAAAAAAAAACACATCCACATATGATAATGTTAGAAATCAGGACATTTTCAGTAATAAGAGATATGAGATAAGACTGTATATACTATTCTTCAATAAACTACAAATCCATATTTCTGTCAGTATTTTGTTCTCTGCCTGTATTTTTGTGTTTGTTAAAAGAAAATTTATTAAATTTTAATTATTTATTCTATCTATTATTTAATTTAGATTTTACTAATAAAATAAAACTTTAATACTTCGTCACTTTAAGCAAGGTTCTAAGACCTGTGTTTGTCATTTTTTTAGGTCTCCATATTATATTTGACGGCGCGTCTGATTTTTTCGAAGATTATTTAAGAATGAATGTCAACCGGATATGCAAAACGCTATCAGTAAAAGTAATCGGTCGTCATTCACTCTGACGCAACACCGAGGGCTAGTGCGAAAAGAAAGAGGGAGAACGAGGCGGTTCGCATCGAGACGGCGATCGGTTCACATCGCGAATAAGCGCTACATTCTTGGTGGAGTGTTTAACGATTCAGTGCCTATAATAATTTTGTGATAATACCCTAATTACATTTTGAGTGAACTACTTCTTTTAATTCTCCTTGCCCGATTACCCACGTCTAATTAAGGTCAAGTATGGATCCAGAGGATATAGCAGACCACCCTGACGTCCCTTTATCAGAAGTGGGATCCGAAGGGCATTCACAAGGAGAAGATAGCAATACGCACGTGGCAGCGTCGCACAATTTACTGCGCAACATGGAGGCCTTATTATCTCGCCTCTTGAAAACTCCGTCGCCCACCGAAGATACAAACCGCATGACAACACAACTAGTGCGGTTTGACCCAGACGAAAAAGACGTGGACATAGAAGGTTGGTGCAGGATAACGGAAATAGTAGTGAGTTGTAGGAAACTAGATGGTGCGGAACTTTTGCTAGCGCTTACACACGCTCTGAGAGGACGGGCAGCCACGTGTTTGACCAATTTGCAAACTTCACAGTTAACATGGATGCATATAAAGGAAGTACTCCTAGCAAACTTCGGAAAACCGATGCTACTGCAAGACTACTTCGACGAGATATTAAGATTTCAACACGCTACGAAAGAAACTACAAGTGAAGCTGCAACGCGCGTCTGGGGGATGATAGAACATATCCCTTGCACTGAAATGTCAGAAGATGTCATCACGGGGTTTGTAACTTCTGTGCTATGCCAAAAAGATGGTATTATACGACGAGAGCTGCAATCTTGTAATGTTTCTATCAGAGCTCAGTTGTTACGGGTTTTCAACTGTGTTTCATCAAAACGAAAATACGAAGGACAAGAGATTAACGAGACGGAAGTAAAAAGAAGCCGCTACAATGAATCACGCTTTACTGGAACGTGTCATCGGTGTGGTATGTCAGGTCATCGAGCCTTGGACTGTCGCAAACGCCAACAAGAGCCTGTTACTAGAGCGACTACGAAGACAGCTGAGCAGCATGTGAAAGTGCAATTCCATCCGCGTCCTGTTACTTGTTATGTTTGTGGTCAACAAGGGCACGTCGCATCAGCGTGTCCAGATCGCAAAAGGAGCAACGAGAAACCGGCTGTCAGCAATGTCCACCTGTGCGAGCGGAAGCCGGCAATCGGCACCTTTACTACGTCCACTGGTGAGCTCGTTTCTTTTCTCTTCGATAGTGGTTCCGCCTGTTCATTGGAAAATAACTAATTTTGTTACACACGGGCGGTATTACATACATCATTGACTTATAATTATAACTGACGGAATAACTTCATACAAACTATTTGACACTTAAAATAAATCCAAACTTTAGGAAGACAGTACTTCGTAGCGTAGCAATAGTCAACGGAATGGTTATTGTGAATCAATGAAATTAGAAATCGAGCAAAGTACGAAATCAAAAATATTATCATATTTTATAAATAAAACGGAGACGTCGACTTTCGACAACTGACAAGAAAGAAGAAAATACATTTTTTTATTCACTAGATGTTGAACTCACCCACAGAACAACTTGGGCCACCGGCCAACCGGAGGGGAGTAGCCATACGTAGGCGTTCCCCTCTGTCAAAGTATAAGTCCACGCGATTCTTGCGTACATTAAAACTAGTTGCAGCCGCACTATTCAGTTCACTAGACTAAATCTAGTTGCGCGACTGAATCAACGTTCTACAAAAATGCCGAATTTTTCAGTTTATTTGCTGCAAAAAGAGATATGTCACATCAAATTAACAAAAAGATGACGTTACCTTTCATATATAAGTAATTTTAATCACATTATTGCTATTTACTTCTTTTAAAACTTAAAAATTACATTAATAACGGTTGTGTCGTTTCGGATTTGCTTACTAACATAGGCCGCTCGCCCTCATACAATATGCGGATTGGTCAAGCGACTGATCCGAGTCTGTATTCAAGTTTTCGGTGTCACCGAGCAATAGTGTTATAATTTATGTATGTGTGTGTGAAAGTAAGTTTCGTAGTAACAGATGACTGTTTTCGTGTGCGAATATTTACCCCGCAAAAAATGACAGACAGTTCTGTATCGAAAAAAATGCTATAGCTACGCCCCTCCGGTCCGTCCGCCGGTACACTATGGCCTCACCACATGAGTAAGGAAATCGACAAAAGGCAATGCTTTTAAGGAGCGTTCAAAATGTTAACCTTTTTGGTAGGGTTGACACAGGAGGATAATACCGGATGCCTGCGGAGTGCCAAGTTCCCCACAGCATGGAAAGAAGCCGCTGGTATGCTTGTTGGACGAGATTGGCAAATTGTTCGAAAGGATAGTTGCCACTTGGCTCAACAGACATCTGTGGCGTGTCGGTCCCGATTTGGCAAATAGCCAATTTGGATTCAGACGGGAGCGTTCCACTGTAGATGCCATTATGCGCGTCCGCTCCCTGTCGGAACAAGCAGTATCCGTGGGTGGTGTAGCGTTGGCGATAAGTCTTGATATCGTCAACGCCTTTAACTCTCTACCCTGGGATACAATAAGGAAAGCATTAGCACACCACCAGGTGCCTATTTACCTGCAAGGCATAATCGGATGGTAGGAAGCAGAGGGAGATTAAACGTGGGGTTCCGGGGGGTTCAGTGCTGGGTCCGCTACTGTGGAACCTCGCGTACGATGCGGTTCTGTGTGTCGACCTTCTTGCTGGCGTAAATATTGTATGCTATGCCGACGACATACTGGTGGTCGCCAGTGGGGTCACCTTCGAGGGGACAAAGAAGCTCGCTGAGTTTGGAACGGAAGTTGTCGTTGCCTAAATCCATGAGTTGCGTCTAGAAATAGTACCTCTTAAGATCGAAGCCTTATGGCTTCACAAACTACTTCGGAGCAGGGACTACCCGACTCGTGCATCTACGTGGGTGGGTCTGTAGTCAGAGTGGGGAGGTGCATGATGTACCTACGGCTCCACTTGGACAGTCGCTGGGGCTTCGAAAAGCACTTTGAGCGCCCAGTCCCCCGGATTGAGAGGGTGGCGAGTGCTACGCACAGACTGCTGCCCAATCTAGGGGGACCGAGGGAGGAAATACGCCGCCTCTATGCGGGGATAGTGTAGTCCGTAACCTTATACGGGGCTCCTGTGTGGAAGAAAAGGCTAGCCATGCGACGCTGTAGATCTAAAATCTACAATGTCCAGCGGAGGATGGCTATACGGATCGTGCGAGGATATCGCACGATATCCTTTGATGCGGCAATCGGCGGCATCAAAGGATATCGTGCGGTATATTAATGCAGCGTCTTAGCTCGCTTTCCACCCCTAGATGTACTGGGGGATATGAGTGTATAACCGAATCCGCATCCTCCGTCAAAGAGGTGGCAGTGAGCCAGACGAGGCGCTCGAGTCTATAAAACGGCAGATATACGCTAGTGGTATGTCACGCGTGGGAACGGGAATGGACGATCCTGGTGAGCCAAATCGGTCGGGACTTCTCCCTGTCCGCAGTCGTCTCGGAGATGCTGAGCGGGGACTCGGCGTGGAGGGCCGTAGTCTCCTTTTGAGAGTCCGTAATGGTCCAGAAGGAGGCTGCTGAGCGGGATCGGAGGAGGCCCTCCCCTTGAAAATGGTGTTCCTCTACCAGAAACTGTGCCTCTGGGATTGCAGGCGTTTGATGCGGGGGCCTCGAATGTCTAGTAACGTAACCCCCGAGGAGGACTATGGCTCGGAAGTGATCCCGAGACATCGTGACAGCACTGCGAGGCTGTACTTACTGCCCCCAGCACCTGGTGATTCCAATAAAGCAAAGCGAGAGAGGGGCCCCGGTTACACGCTGATAGAGACCGCCGTGGGGATTTAGCCGGTAGGAGTCCAGCATAACCTTCCAGTTGCCCCCGCAGCCAAAGGTATCCTTGAGGATTTCCCCGCGAAAAAAAAAGAAAGCAGGATAATATTAAATAAATAAGACATTAGCTTTTTATTATTTACCTATGATAAAATATTTTTTTACTAATTACTTACTTTAAATATTTTATTTTCATATTCTTTGTTTTCGAATAATTTGTTGAGCCTTTTAGTTGAATGGTAAATTTTAAATGTAATATAAAGTTTATTTCCTTAACAATCTAATAGAAAGGATTTTCATGGCATATACCTACAAGCTTGCACACGTTTAAATAATTATCAATATTAACAATGATAATTACGAATAAGTTTATTACGAAATTTTTACTTAAGCAATTCAATAAATGCAATAAATTTGACGTATATGTATGAGATATTGATCTACGACACACACAATAATTATCAAGTACTAACCACCTCTTGGAGTCTTTCGGATAGTTAAAAAAAGATATATTTACATAATAATTGTTTATTGTTTACAACGTGTCCCGAATCTCAACGTCAAGCGGGCACGGGGTCATACCAGCCCCGGGAAAAATAAAAAATATCGATATCTGTTAGGTCACTTATACCTGACAAATTTATGAAAATGAGGAAAATCGACATCTTAAAATCATATCATTAGGTATTGTGATCACAATTTTCTCAATTTTACAGTGGCTTTTTCACTAACAAAAGTGTCGATAGCAACGGAATCGATTCGATTCGACTCATTTTTTTGTGTAGAACAGCACTATTATCTATTATTCTTTCTGTTGTTTTTAACAACGTGATGGTGTTTTTATGATTTTGTGATATGGGATCTGCAAGAAGAGCACACTCCAAATATTAAACTAATTGTGTACGAAAGCATACACTTCAAATAGTCAAACAAGTGTGCAAACTGCAAATGTGCGTCAAGCACCAACTTGTATTTGGATTTCTTCAAATTTTTTTAAAGTCAAATTCAAATCGTTTATTGGGAATATAGGTTGATACAGTTTACGTACGGTGTTTACGTAGTTTATCACTTATAGAACAAACATTTAGTACAGCTATATTTCTATATTCTATAGGTGAATTAACTTGTACTTAGTTAAACAGTGTTGTTTGCAAAACCATAATAACTACATCTTTATTTGATTAACTGGAGATAACAATATTATACAAGAGATATGAAGATACAATTTATGGACATTGTAGACAGCACCTCATTGCTTTTAGTTGAAAGTGTTCTTCTAATTTCTAACAATTTCATAAATGATCATATTTTTTGGCTTTAATGGTTTTTGAAAATGTAAATTATTCCTTATACATACATAAACATAGTCCCCACACACTATTTAGATTGCAATAAGTATATAGAAAATAATATGTGAATCGCTTAGAATAAATGTGTATGCCTTACAGGTTGAAAGCTTGCAGAGCTGTCCGACGCAGAAACAAAATGATAACAGTCTATGGATATTGAAGACAGTAGTCTTATCTCATATCTTTTACCGTTGAAAATGATCTTCTGATTCATAACAAAATCATAAATAGACATGTCATCGACAAATTGTTTTGGTGTTTATGATGTTTGAGATTTATATATAGCCACTGTTCACACTGTTCTTCTCTCAGTGCTGCCTTTAAAAAAAATCGGTACGACTTTCCATTGACGTCCGCCGAGTTAGGGGTTGATATTACAAATAAAATAGGTTAGGTTCAACTTATCTCAAAGAACCGAATTGATTGCCCCGACTCCACCTGGATACGAGTCTGTCCTATATAACGTGACCATACGTCCCGCTTTGGGCGGGACAGTCCCGGTCCCCAGCGAAGGCAAAATGGTCTCGCTTTCGCAAACAGACCTAACTTCATTCTTCTACATCTACAGTGTTCGAGTCAAATCTTTGAAAGTATTTTGTGATTCATCTGACACAGAGTATCACATATTGCTGGGCTACAGTAAAACAAGGTGGCTTACGTTAATGCCCGCGCTTGAGAGGGTTCTAAAAATGTTTCAGCCTTTAAAAACGTATCGACAAATTCTCAAATATTTTAAAAATGTTTTTCAAAATTCCTAGATCAGAGTTGTGATTATATTACTTGCACGCACAAGCAGCGACATTTCATGAATCTGTGTTAAAAATTAAGGGCAAAACGTGTCTGCAATAGAGTCTGCGAAATTAATAGTCTCCGCGATAACCTGGCACTCAAAGAGAGCACTCTATACATGGTAGAGCCATGTTGCAGCTATTTTGGTAGTATAGTTGTAGCACGAATGTGTGGGCCCGACCGGGGAGGGACCACGCTCTCACAGAATGCCCAGCGTAAAATAGCAGTTTAATGCCGCTGTGTTTTGTATGGTGAGTGTAGAGAACCGGAAATCTTTTT